AGGTAGTAGGATAAGGGAAAAAGCAGTAGCTTATTTCAAGAATTTGACAGTCATAATATGAAAAGAGATGTCCTTATATTGGCTCCATAGCTCCAGAAGGCTGAAGAAAAAAGTGGGGAAAACATGGAAGCAAAAGAAAGACACTTTTGGTTAAATAAATAAATCAAGCTAGCTAGCAAGCAAGGACAGTAGTTTAATTATCAAGAGAAATCATGTTTAAAGGTCAGAGGATAGAATAGAAGAGAGGTTTCCAACCATTTTTCTGCTCCAACCCAAAGAAGACAACATTCTCTCACCAGAAACAGTGGTTTATAACTGCAGTGAATCATAAATGGTAGGGGCTGGGGCAGAGATCTGTGTTGGGGTGGTCTGAGGAGGGAGTAGTCAGTGATAATTCTGGAGTTAGAGGCACTGGGGAAGACACTAGGAGACCTTTTTTCTTAATCCTATGATTTTAACGTAAGGATCCCAGCAAACTTAATAGCATCTCATAAGCAAAGATAGTATTCTCCACGCAATTATCTATGGACATAGATGCACTAGCAGATGAAAACAGTGGGAAGTAGAAAACACGAAGCTGAGAGTACATATATTCTCCCTCACCTAATCGCATCTTGTCTGAACCAAGCAAATGGTGTTCAACCTGCCTTTCAGTTTCTTTTACCATTTCCCTAGATTTCTAACTCACTAGTTTGTTCTCTGTCCCACTTACAAAAATGTCAGTTGGACAGACGATAAGAAAGCAACTCTAACCTGATTCATACAAAGCAATTTAGACATTGGTATCTTTGCCCATCAGCATACGCATCACGTTAACAGCATGCAAATTCAACCTCTGCCTACATGTCTATTTTACCTTGCATTGTGCACTAAATTCAGGCTTTGAGCTATTCCCCTCTGAATTCAAATATCTAAACAATTGCCATTGTTCTTGTTATGTATTCTAGAATTACCTTACCATTTCCTACCAAAAATTTGGTCCTGAATTAAAGGGAATACACATTTGAAAACTACACACTGTGTATGAATAGTACATACTTATTTTACATTTTTAACATTATGTACAAGCTGTGGGAACATCTGGTGTTTTGCAAACTTGGGCAAATCCAGCTGCATTTCCTCTTCCAAATGTGTCCTCTGACATGTGTGGGCTGTGTTTCATTTTGATTTTTATACTCTCTCTCTCTTTCTCTCTCTAGGATAATATTGTGTGGTTTCAAATATGCAGCTTATTTAACTATACCTTTACTCTCTGAAAATAAAATGAAAAGCTTGTCAATTAATAACATGACAAGTAATATTAATAATATAGCTAAAGACATAAAATTAATTTAAAATGTATCTGTCTTATATCACCCAGAAATGCAAGTGTTGGGACTTCATTGTACCGATGTAGTATAAAGGTATTAAGGGGAAATCTAGTTCCTTTATGGTGCCCCAGGGTGAGGCCTAGTGGACAGTGAACGGTTCGTGGTGTTATATCATGGAGGCAACAGTCTCAGAAATAGTTTAATGATCTCACAAGATCCTCCGAAGAGGGCTTAACTATCACAATAACTGGTTGTTATAAAAGACATCAGTTAGGAGCTCACTCTGTCTCTCTGTCTCTCTCTCCATATGCCTACTATCCTCTGTTGGCTGTGCTGTAGGCCTAGGACTTGGGACTTTCTAGCCACCAGAACTATGAGTTTATAAATAAACTTCTAAGTTCTTTATAAAACTGGGCTCAGGTATTTCTGTAAGCAATGCAACAAGGGATTAAGACATTTCTCTAACTTACTTGACTCAATAGGAAAACACTCCTCAGACTAGTTTGCAGTAAGTAAATACCTATGCTTAGGTTATATCACCTGAGCTAAGAGAAACTGATGCAATAATGAACTGACTCAATCTTTTTTATTTTTTGAAAGAATTATTTAATTTTATTCATTATCATTATTAATTTTTTTTAATTTGACCAGAGAGAAAGAGAGAGAGGAAAGTGAGAAAGCACGCCACCAGGCCCAGGACTCGAACCATGGTCAGCCATGTGGGAGTCCAGTGCCTTAACCACCATGCCATCTGCCAGTCCCAACTGACTCAATCTTCACTGAGTCAACTACGCATATATTCCTGAGAAAAATACATATATATGCACAAACAATTACATCATTTATTTTCAGATGTTTTGTTGACAACTTGAAAATTAAGAAATTAGAGTCATAAGACTGTGCTATAATTCAAAATCACCAGAGTAAAAACTTTCTAAATATCAGGTAAAAACTCGAAGTTTTTACCTGTTATTATTAAGTTTAATCACAAATAAATAATTGATGTTGGAAGTCTAAGACACAATTAGCACGTTGTCTCACTTGATGGTGCTGGGCTTCCTTCCTGCCCTCACCTACAATATATGAACTTCCCTGCAGCTGAGGGCGGGCTGGGAGCTTACCTTAGAAGACAGCATTGGGACCAGCAGTTAGAGTATGGCTATGTCGCTGGACTGCCATGTAGTCGACCACAGTTCGAGTCCCGGACCCGGTGGTTTAAAACTCACGCCGGGCGCGTGTGCGTGCTTGCCCAAGATCCCAAGAGGAGAATGGAGGAGAAGGGATTGCGGCGTGGTCATCGCCCCTGGGGGGTGATTTCTCACTGTCTCTCTCTCTCTCTCTCTGTGTCTGTCTGGAGAGTGCACACGCCCTATGGCAAAGAAAAAACCTCTCCAAAAAAAAGTAAAAAAGAAGACAGCCTCTCCCACCTTCCTGCTACCTGCTTGCTTGTCTGGCCTCTTAGCCAGTCCACAGGTCCCAGCTCTAGGCCATTTCCTTGGACTGCAGACTCTGCAACTGGCTCAGAAGCCTTCCTGCAATTCGTACTCCCTCATTTCCCATGCTGACTTGGGACTGATCTTTGTCTCCGAGATTCCAGAGAGTGTGGATTGGGCTACTGCCTTTTCCCACACCAGGTCCTCCCTGGCCTTCCCATTCAGATGCAGCCCTGATCTGGATACATCCCAGCACAGGTGGCTGCTCTCAACTCCTCCTGAGCCCTCTGTCTCCTAGTTGCCCCACAGCTCCTGGGATGGCTCCATGTCCCTTGGTTCGAGATGCTGTCCTAGGCCTTTTTAGAGGTAGGACAGTTCAACGTTTGAGAGAAGAGGCTGTGGAATATATCCCCATGTGTTCAAATGTGGCTCCTCTGTTACCAACTTCGTTCTGTGAGCCATGCTTTCCTCACCTATAAAGTCAGGGTAGTAACATCACGTACCTCACAGATTGCTTAGCAGTAACCTCTGCCTCCAGGAGCAGAAGTCTAACAGGAGATTCAGGCTACACCACACAGGCAATTGGGGTAGGTTCAGAATTCAAAACCAAGTTTACACAGCTCCAAATGGATGCTCTTTACAAATACTCTTTAGGGATCAGCAGTTAGTGTAATGGCTACGTCCCTAGACTCCCATGTAGCTGACCGCAGTTCAAGTTCCAGACACGGTGGCTTAAACTCACGCCAGGCACATGTGTGTTTGTGCCCAAGATTCCAAGAGGAGAATGGAGGAGAAGGGACTGCAGCGTGGCCATCCCCCCTGGGGGGTGATTTCTCACTTTCTAGCTCTCTGTCTCTCTCTGTCTTTCTGGCGAGCATACACACCCTAGAGCAAAAATCTCTGCAAAAAAAAAAACTCTTTAAAATTGTCCTTATTTTTTCCCCTAAAAACAACAGAATTAATGATCTCCTTTTTATAGTAGTGGTTATAAAATTTAAAACACAGTTATTAGCTAAATTACTTGGGTTGTAATAATAAGAAAATGAAGTCCTTGGTTATCCACAACTATTAGTGTAGTGAGTTAAAAGCAGCATTCTCCAGGTCAGCCAGTAGCATGGTAATTAAGGTGCTGGATCCCACACGGCCAATTTTGCAGTTCAAGTCCCAGATCCAGCACCTTGAAAAACATGCTGGGTACACATGTGTGCATGCCCAATATCCCGAAAGGAGTGTGGAGAAGGGATTGTGGCATGGCTATCTCCCACAGGGTTGTTTCTAATTCTCTCTCTCTCTCTCTCCAATGAGCACACACACTTTATGGCAAAAAACCTACACATACACACACATGCGCATGCGTACATACACACAAAAGTAGCCTTCTCCACAGATGTGTGAATCTCCACCTGGGCCAGCTTCCAGATGAATGACTTGCAATTCTTTGCCTTTGCACTCTATTTCCAGTATAATATTAAATACAATAAAAATATTGGGGACTGGACACCGGAAGTCTTGCTAACTTGGGAGAAGGAGAAGGAAGCAGCTAAGATGGACAAGAGAAGACAAAAAGGATGATCCCAGGACGAGAGAGTTGGCACCTGAGACCCAAGGCTGAGAGATGTTCCAGGAAGAGTAATGTTCAGGGTGCAGGCAGCGAGGAACGTACGTGCATTTGGCAGCGGTGCTGGGATGAGAGGGCAAGAACCCACTTAATCTACTTGAGTGAAACTACACACTGCTGAGGGATGAAGTGTAAGCGGAAGGGTCCCTACAAAGGGCTGGGCCCTGAGTACGGAGCAGATGTTAGACACAGTGACATGCATCACTCCCTGATAACTCTGGCACCAAGTCACATACCACGTGATACTCATGTACAATTTTTTAATGGCTCAATCTATACAGAGCTAAGTTGTTAGCCTGAGTTCTTGATTCAGGTCAACTGGGCTGGCACTGGAGCATCTTGCCACTTCTCAGTTGGAAAAAAGAGTATGGTGTATTGACTATCAAAGGACACATTATGAGAATTTTAACATGTGCACACTGTACGTGTAAATTAGAACAATCATGTCTGCTTCAGATGTCTACGCTAGAGGAAAATGACTTTGCAATTAAAATACCTCATCTTGAGCAACAACAAAATAGCCAAATATGTATTATTTTCCATTTCTAGAAAAGAAAGAAAAACAAAATCTGCAGAATGTAAGAGCAGTTGCATTTGGTCTAAAGCCTTCTATCCACCCAAACCTATCTTTTCAGTTACCTTGGTCACAGCTTTTGGAGAAAATGTAACTGCATCCACCACCGTGATGAGGTCACCAGGGTGGAGACGATCAAAGTACTTCACGCAGACATCGTAGGCATGAAGCCACTCCGGTGCGGACTCCGGGACTTGTTTAACGAGGTGAGGGTCTCCATTCCAGAACAACTTCTGCAACCAGATGGTGTAGAGGCAGCTTGGGGAAAGCATTCGGCCATCCTTCTCAGGGATTTTGGGAACAAGTTTGGAAATAGATAAGATGTTTTGACTTGAAAGAACTGGCTCCAGTGCTTCGAGAGGACTCATGTTTTCATCTGTCAGCTTTTTGTAATTAAGACCTATTGGAAAGAAGAGAAAAAAGAAAATAGGTAAGAAGTTCATTCTAACACAAGAGCTTTCAGACACGATGTAGCCTTCTGGATGGCTGAATAAAAAGATCTACCAGCTCAGTAACAGTAGACAGTTTGACGTTTCCATTAGATAGATGTGAAGATTGGAGTTCTAGTCCCAGCTGGAACCTTGATCAGATGTGAATCCTGGACAGGGCACTTGGGTGCTTCAGTTTCCTCTCTGCACGATGGGGACGGCAGTATGCCCTTGCCTCTTCCATCCCCCACAGCACTCATGTTTTCCTCCATCAATCCATCTGCCAAAACGCATCTCGTTCGTTTGTTAGGCACCTAGCATCTTACTCGCTGTGGTACCTGAAGGCAGGGACTGAATCTTGCTCCTTATTCTCTGTGTCCAGCACGGTGTCTAACGTAATTTCACAGTAAATAACTTCTCAGCTGAAGAAAACCCTCATGATTGTTATGCTTATCAAATATAGATTTGAAAGCGTCTGATAAATTATAAGGTAAACAGATTTCAGAGATATTAATGTGTTTAAGTTCTCAGTTATGAGAACAAAGACCTCATTCCAAAGATTTCACAATTTATCAGAGATTCAAAGGTTCTGATTTTAAGCATTCCACACATAGTTTATAGGCTCCACTGAAGTGAAATTCTGCTGAAGAGTCTACTGTCGGGACCAGCAGTTAGCGTAATGGCTATGTCCCTGGACTCTCATGTAGTCAACCGCGGTTTGCATCCCGGACCCGGTGGCTTAAAACTCACACCAGGCGCGTGTGCGTGCGTGCCCAAGATCCCGAGAGGAGAATGGAGGAGAAGGGATTGCGGCGTGACCATCCCCCCTGGGGGGTGATTTCTCGCTTTCTGTCTCTATGTTTCTCTCTGTATGTCTGGCGAGCGCACGCATCCTATAGCAAAAACCTCTTCAAAAAAAAAAAAAAGAGTCTACTGTCAAGTGTCTTAGCTTTGTCTTATTAAAAAAATATATATATATATACACACACATATACACACACAATATAAATATAAATTACATATACACATTTTAAAATACATAAATATTAAGAAAATGCATATATGTAAACTATAATCAATAGGAGTAAGGGGGGAAAAACTCTCATAGTCAAACAATTTGTGTTTTAGTACCAGGTTGACTATAAGTCACTGTAACTTCCAATAGGTTTGGGGTTTCTTAATTCCCCTAAGTGAAAGAACTGGAAAGATAACTAAAGTCAATTAGCAAATTCTGTGGTTTCAGAGCTATACCAACCTCAACATAAGAACATGATAGTGTATAAGAGATGAATCCCTAGAATGGATTAAAAAGAATGAGGTCGAACAAGAAAATCATCATCCTACCTGGTGCGACGACCTTAAACTTCTTTAGCAGTCGAATGTGGGTTTCTGGTTTAATGGCGTATTTCCCCAAATCCGCACAGCCACAGTTTTCCAGAAGAGTGAAATAGTAGAGCAGCCTCTCGTGGTCCAAGCCACCAATGGTGGGGTAGACATACTTGACCATGTGCTGATGGAAGGCTTCAGGCTCAGTCTTCAAAGTCTCAAAGAGTTGAAGGGTTTGGGCTCGATTTTCAATTTCTGCTGTGGACAAACTAAAATTAAGAGCAAGAAAAATTCTGTTAAGATTTGGTTCTTTTATTAAACAAAGTAATTTTTTTTTAACTCAGGAAGAAAGGCTACTTCTTACAGGTCCCTTTTTCCTCCCAGTCAAAGACGGTAAGCCCCAAGGACCCAGGTGGTTTGTATCGAAGGACACGAATGTGCGGCAGGTGCCTGTGATTGCACCAGGGTTTCCACAACATCTCACAGGGTCTAGCTGAGACAGAAATCACTTCACACTTCTGCAGGTGGGAGAGCTTCCCAGTGCTCCCCTGCTAGGAAACGAACCCAGATCTGACAGCTTCTACTAAAAATATTGACTCATGTCACAAGAAACATTTTAAATTGATACTTTACAGGAACATAAACAACCTTATTATTTTACAAATTTAGGAAATGGAATGCAGAAGAAAAAGCCCAAACTTTTAGGCCTATGTTTTGCAACCAAGAGTCTTGAGCTGATGATAGTCAATGGATCCAAGTTTTATACTCTGTTCAAACAAAATTCCCTTGAGTTATCTGTAGTAATGACACTTAAATAAAACGCATATCTTAATACTTTCATCTTAACTTAGGTAGCTTTATAATGGAATTTGAAAAGGCATTTGAGCTGGTCCCATAGCCTGGTGGCTAAGGAAGCTGGATCCCACATGGCTAACTGTGGTTAAACCGTGGCCCCAGTGGCAATGTGCATGTGTACCTAAAACACAGATAGGATGGAGAAACAAAGAAGATACTGCAGCGTGATCACACGCCACCAAGGAGTGGGCTCGCTAGCTCTCTCTCTCTTTTGTGAGCACATGTAATTCTAACAGCTAAAAAAAAAGGCCATGTAAGGCTGAACTATTGGGGGAAAAACTTAGGGCATTTTTGTTGGGTTTATTTGTGTCTGTGTGGTAGAAGGAAGAGTTAATTTTGGTTTGTGCTTCTCTTGTAAAGAGACTGGACAGAAGGTGATTGGTCTAGTGTAATCCCAATGCCCCACACAGGATGAGTCTCACACCTTCTAATTTTAGGAGCTCTTCGGGCAGCCCCCACACTAACAGAAATAGCATTTCCAGGACTCTCAGGAGAAGCAATCAAAGAATCTGGGGGCAGTAAGTGAGACCCCTGGCAGCATCAAAGTTAGGTTCCATGGAGTTTTAAAGCAGCTCTTCTGAAATACGATTCCCTGTTTATTGGAATTACCATTTCATAAGCTGAAAGATGTGCTTTTGGTTTATGTCAGAAAAGATAATATAAATTGTGTTTTAAAACCTTTACGAGAGTATGACAATACTTGGGATAACAGCAACAATCGTAATGTCAAAATATCACAATTTTTTTGTAATCTTAAACTTGTGCTTCAAAATAAATCTTGCTTTTCCACTAAGGCAGTTCAAACATTTATAAAAATATCCCTATCTACAAATACGTTCCCAGTCTATAAAAACTTGCCTGGCTGCCTTCTCTGAGCTATTGGCACATGCGACATATCCATTACGGTACTGAAAACATGTAACTACCCACTACCTTGCCTGTCCTCTCCACTACGTTATATGCTGCTCAGTGGCTGATCATGCTAGTTTCTCCACCTTTAGTTTCTAGATACCAAGGACCAGTCTGTGAGACAAAGGAAACATTCAATACATATCGTATGAATGCCAGGTCTGGGCGGTTGAGCAAAAACTTAGGTGTCCTCTGTAGATAAAGCACCATGCTCAGCTCAGCACTGAAGAAGATACGAATATTCATGGGACAGAGCTCTCATCCAGGTTTGAAAATATAGTTGAGTCTTAAGTAGTTTGGAACTAAGTCACAATGCAAAACAATGGTAGGGCTGTTTTGTGTTACAAAGGGCACACAGTTATATTCTCATTAAGAGTTGGCTCGCTGGGGCTGGCAGGTGGTGTGGTGGTTAAGACTCTGGACTCCCACACAGCTGACTACATCTTGAGTCCCAGATCTGGCTGCTTGCTTTCTCACTCTTTCTCTGTCTCTGTCTCTCTCTGGTCAAATTAAAGAATAACAATAATAAATAGAAATTAAATAATCTTTATTTTTTTTAAAAAGAGTAGGTTCACTAAAAGCTATGACTTCAGGAGCCACCAGGTGGTGTGGTGGTTGAGGGCACTGGACTACCACATGGCCAACCACAGTTTAAGTCCCGGACCTGGCAGCTTACCATCTCACTTCCTCTCTCTCCCTCCCTCCTTCCCTCTCTAGCCAAAATTTTAAAAATAAATAAATAAATATAATTAATTAAAATTTTTTTTGAAAGTTATGACTTCAGAGATAGAAATCAACAATACTAGATGGCTTAATGTAAGAGGTAAATACATTTGGCATTGTAGAAAGGAATGAAGCAGAAGAATGTGGACAAAAATATGAAGACAAGAAAGCACGGGCCTGTACAAGGAACAGTGAGTGTAAATGGTTAGCTGCTTAAAACTTTCTCTTTTTTTTTTTTTTTTTACATGCTTACTCATCTTTTATTAAGAATTCTACAAAGGATACAGATGCAGAGACACATAAGGCAAGGCACAGGGGAAGGAGCGTGGAGATTCAGAGTCCCCTCTGGGGTACCACCCCGCAGGAACCTCCTCATGTTTACCTAACATAAAACATTCTTATTGCTCACTCACGCTCAAAGAATGTGATGTCATCCCTGAAAGCCACTAAATGAAGTGAAATAGGAAAGTGACTAAAATTTCTGATGTGTGGGTCAGTTTCATGGCACAGTGGCAACACATTCCTCAAGAGAAGCCAGATTCCATGTGCTAACCATGGTTCCAATCCCTGACCCTGTCAGCCTGAAATATGCCAGGCACATATGACAGTGCCGAAGATCTGATGGGCTGGAAAAAGGGGATCTCACCATGACAAGCCCATGTGCAGGGTGCATGTTTCTCTCTCTCTCTGCCACTCATACATGGATATGCACTTGTTCAATTGTGAGCTTTCAAAACCAGAATTTCTGTGTTCCTTCACAATTTGAAAAGTGAAATCTGAAAATAACATAAAGAGGTAACTGAGGGGTATAGCCCCATTAAGATGATTCCAAGATCTGTAGGCTGAACGACATGCTCAATGGAGGAGCAAAAACACACTTGCATTTCTTGTGATGATTACTGCTAACGGTCAGTTCAAGCTGGACAACTACCAGGACCAGCAGATGGCATAATGGTTGCATCACTGGACTACCACATACTCGAATGTGGTTTAAGTCCTGGACCCCACAGCTTGAAACTCACACCAGGCCATGTGCGGGCATGCCCAAAATCCTAGGAAGAGAACAGAAGGGACTGCAGCATGGCCAGCCCCCCTGGGGAGGTGATTTCTCATTTTCTGCCTCTCTCTTTGTCTCTGGTAAGTACACACACCCTATAGCAATAAAATTTCTCAGGAAAATTTTAAAAAGCTAGGTAACTACCAACTTCTAGATGAGAAACTATTTGGAGAGGTGAAGAAGCTTGCCTAATAACGACCCCTCGACCTGTAGACTCAGTGTGTGTGTTCACCCCACCACAAGGCAATCATCAATTCAGGAAGGTCCAGCACTCATATTACCACACACATTACCTTCTAAAACAGGATTCTTTCTGTAGCTCAGATAATAGTTCTCTTTCCTAGTAGCCATAATCCAAAAGCGTTCTCTTGTCATACTCCATTCCTAATACCTGACAGACTCATCTACAAAATGGACAATGACTAAATCCTAACAGCTGGAGTTCATCTGCATTTGACTTGATTATGAACATAGTCTCTCTCAATCAACATTACTTTCTCCCTTACCCACCCACTTATTCTTCTGTGCCTGTAATTCAGTATGTCTGATGTGCAATTTTACCTAATTATCTTGTCAAGAAATATATCGAAATACCTTTACTGACACATGATAAATACCAAAACCTCCCTTTTCAGTGAATTATAATGTGCTAAGATCTTTTGTAGATGCCAGTGATCAATAACCCAGTTTAACAGCCTCCATTAGAAGAAGCTGTTATCTTTCTCTGGGGCAAGAAATGAAATCTTTGCTTAGAAAACAATTCCCAAGGACCTATATCGAAGAGAGTAGAAAAAAAAATATCATGAAACCACGGTGGACTACTTTACACTAATCAAACTAATCATCACCCTAACAAACTGTTGAAGTGTTTTCCTGAACCGAGTTCTCACTCTCATGCAGCTTGGATATGTATAGTTCATATTCCCTGGAATCCTGACAGCAGAAGTTGTATTCACCGCACAGAGAGAAAATTATGAGAGCCAATCCCATCAAGCGGGTGCTCTACAATGGCTCCCACTTGTCAGTCACCCAAAAATGTGATTTATAACAGCATGCATAGTGCCAGCCAGTGGTGTGGTGGTTAAGGCAGCAGGATCCCACATGGCCGACTGTGCAGTTTGAGTCCTGGACCCTGTGGCTTGAGAAGTACACTGGTGAATGAGTGCATGCCCAAAATTCTGAGAGGAGAATGAAGGAAAAGGGACTGCTGCCTGATTATCCCTCCAGGGGATGATTTCTCACTTACCTTCTCTTTCTCTCTCTCACTCTCCCTCCACCCCCCAGCAAGCGCACATGCTCTATTGCAAAAAAACTAAAAAAGAACAGCATGTATTAAAAGAACACATATTTGTATAAGAAAACAGATCAACCTGTTTACATTTTTCTTTACTCAGTCCAAGGTTGAATGATGATACAATTCCATTAGCTGACTAAAGGGAACACGTCTAAGGACAGAGGAACGAGAATGAAAGGAAGAAGGTGAATGAGAGAAGGGACAGGGCTGCTGGGGAAAGCTGCAGAGGGCAAAAGGAAGGGGCAGAGGAGTGGAAATGAACCTTTAGAGATAACCTGCCAGCACTTATGCTTCTATTACCTCATTTAATCCTCCTAATCCCCCTCAGCAGACGCTCTTATTATTCTTATTCTCTGAAGGAGGCTGAAGCTTAGACAAAAAAAATTCATACAACTAGCAAGAGGTGGAGACTGATTACAAATTGGATCTTT